CCGTTCCACCATCCCTGACGCAGCCACCACCAATTTTCATTTGCTGACGTTTCTCCTGGCCAGCCCCGAGATGCCCCACACAGAATTCCTCTTTGAAAAATTCCCTTTTTTCCCCCTCATCTTTGCCGGGCTCCGGAGATGTGACAGGAAATCGGAAGCCGCTTGTGCAAACCTTCCACCTGTGAGTAAGCTGTGAGTAAAATGCTGGGTCAGAGACCACGCAGCCGAGCTCCCCACGCATCCCAAGCTCTTCCCTGGGGCGGGATGGGAGCACTGGGAGCACTGGGATGGTGCAATCCTGGATGCAACCATGGCTTTGCAACAGCGCCGGTTTCTCATTTCCCCTCCTGTTCCCGGCCTGACCGTGGAATTCCAGCAGCACTCCCGGTTGTTCTCATTCATTTTCCACCTGAACTCCCTCCTGGAGCCGCGAGGTTTTGTTGGGAGCCCAGGGGCGGCTCGGGTTTGCTATGGCTGAAACAATTCCTGGAGTTTCTATCCAGAGGCGCCAGCTGAGGCCAGAGCCGTGTTTGCTGCTCAGCCTGTTCACCAACAAAGCCTGGTTTAACAAGCCCCGACAGGCTCGGGATGAGTCTTGGCTTATCAGAGCTGGGGATGAGTCCTGGCTTATCGGAGCTGGGCATGAGCCCAGTATTACCAGAGTTCAGGATGAGTCCTGGCTTATCGGAGTCGGGAGTGAGTCGTGGTTTATCAGAGCTGGAAATGAGCCCGGTATTATCAGAGCTGGGGATGAGTTGTGGTTTATCAGAGCTGGAAATGAGCCCAGAGTTATCAGAGGTCAGGAATGAGCTCAGTATTATCAGAGCTGGAGATGAGCCCAGAGTTTTTAGGCTTTGGGATGAGCCCAGTGTTTTCAGAGTTCAGGAATAAGCCCAGTATTATCAGGCTTCAGGATAAATCCAGTTTTATCAGAGTTGGGGATGATCCCAGTGTTTTTAGGCTTTGGGATGAGCCCAGTATTGTCAGGCTTTGGGATGATCCCAGTGTTTTTAGGCTTTGGGATGAGCCCAGTGTGATGAGTCCTGGTTTATCAGAGCTGGGAATGAGTCCTGATTTATCAGAGTCAGAATGAGCCCAGTATTATCAAAGTCGGGAATGAGTCCTGTGTTTTTAGGCTTTTGGGATGAGCCCAGGATTATCAGAATCAGGATGAGCTCAGTGTTATCAGAGCATCTCAGAGGATGACTCGTCCCAGCCTTGTTGCACAAGGAGAGGGGAGGAAACCTCGCTGTGCTGGGGATAAAACCCAGCCTTGGACTCCTCCTAGGCTTGGACAGGAGCTGAGCTCTGGGGAGGCTGGATCAGCTCCTGCTCCTCGTGTCCAAACCCACCCTGCTCGGCCTGGGTCTATTAAATATTGATACCAAATATTGATACCAAATATTGATACCAAATATTGATACCAAATATTGATACCAAATATTGATACCTGGCTCTATTAAATATTGAACTGTCCAAACTCAGGGAGCCACAAGAACCAGGGAATGAGAAATGAGATTTTCAAATGTTTTCTGCTTTTTTTTTGTTTTGGGAAGGACCGAAATTATGAGCTGGTTTTCGGTCAGCTGGATAAACACAAATATTTGAAGGTTCCTGGTTTGGTTTTGTGGAATTCTCTGTGAATTTGTTCGAGCTCTCAGAGTTTTTTTTTTTACTCCCTTAATGAAGGAAGGAAACCCACAGGATATTGATAATGAAGTGGTAGATTTTAGAAATGGGAATAAAAACAAATTAATGATAACGCTGCCTAATTTTAGAAAGGAATTTAATAAGGCTGGTGACAAAATCTTGTGTAATTGTCCCCACATCTTACAACACTTCACGTGTGAGGATCCTGTGGCATCAAACACGGGTTTAGAGCCCAGGGGATTTGGGTCTTTGGTTTTTCTGGATTTTTATTGAGTTGAAAGGGTCAAAATCCCCCCAGGTGGGTGAAAGCAGAACGGTAAAAAAAAAAAAACTACAAAAAAAAAAAAAGCAACGAAGTGTTTTTACATCTCACTTTTAAATGGGCACAGATCCATGTTTTTTTTTTTTGTTTTTTTTTTTGTTTCCCCTTCCTAACGAGCATTTGGATGAGTCAAACAACCCCAGAGAAAAGTCCTGGAAGATTAAATGTTGGGCAAACCCCAGCTCCCAACCAACACTGGAATTTGTGCCTAATTTAGAGCCTGATCCTCTCCAAAAACGCCACGAGCAGCTTGTGGGGAGGATCTCGCTGCAGTTGCCTCATGCTCCAGGTTCTGGGTTGCGCCATCCCCCGATCCCTGGGCCAGGTAAACAACCTTTCACTGGCCAGGTGGAGCCGTGGAAAGGAGTTTTAACCCTTTAAGTGCGGCAAAAAAGAAGATGCACGGCTACGTGGTCGTCTGTCATGACAGGAAGAGAAGGAGAAGTTTCTTTAGAAACACACTTGGTTTTATAGAGAAAAGGTGATTGGTTCGGAGAGAAGCCACCCCATTGCCAGGGCCTGCCCACACACCACAACAGGTGTTTTATTTTATTATTAATTCCTTTTTATTTGAACCAAATTAGCACCCTGGGAGAAATTCTCCCCAGCCTTGAGCCGGACCAGCTTATCAGGATGGGAACAGAGCTGAGAAACTCCAGCCTGGAATATTTTCCGGGCTGTAATTTTCTTACTTTCTCAATGTGTTTCCCACAACCAGGTCACGCTGTAAACAACAATCCTCGGAAATTCCCCGGGACATTGGTGGATCTCCTCAAGCGAGGCTCAAATCCCGGGATTCTGGAATAGTTGGAGCAGGGAGGGGCACAGGGACACGTCCAGGTGAGTTTGGGATGACTCTGGGAGTCTCCACTCCTTCCGTGGGCGGCTGCTCCATGGAAAGGAATTCTCCCTCGTGCCCAGGTGGAATTTGGGCTTTGGTTTTTTGGTTTTTTTTTTTCCTCCTCGTCCTTCCACTGGGAAGAGTCTGGCGCTGTCCTGTTGCCACCTGAACTTCTCTAACTGTTGAAAAGGCTTTATTTTAATGGTATTAATAAAAACGTCACTTTAAATCGGGTGTGAAATACCCGCGACAATTCCTTGGGGAGATTCCTTGGCGACCCATTCGCGTTTTAACTGAAGGAGCCAGAAATGAAAGAAGTCACCCCAAATATTGAAACTACCCACCGGCTGCGAGGTTTTATTTTCCAACCCGTCATCCGAAGGAGGTGGAGAAAAGAATCTTTTCCCGTTTTCCCTTTTCCCAGCACCTCTCGGGGCCACTGCTGTGATGCAACGACACGCTCAGGGCGGGGGGGGGGAGAAAATTCCACTTTTTTTGGGGGGGGAAAAGCGGGTGTAAAAATGATGATTTTTGGGGTGAGTCACTTCTTCTGGATGGGAGGCCACTGGGTGCTCTGCTTGCACTGCTGGGCCTTGATGGCGGTGGGGACAACCACGGGACATTTCTGCTGCACCACCTGGGCGCACTCGCCTCCCGCAGGGTCGAGCTCCACGCTGGGGAATGTGACAGCTCCGTATCCCCCGTAGCCCCCTGAGCCTTCCGTGACCACCCCCGTGGCCGAGCTGTCACTTAGGGTTGCTCCATACCCATACCCTGCTCCTAAATCCCTTCGTCCCACATCCTCGCCGTACCCCGTTGTCACTCCGGAACCGTAAACCGGCACCGCTCCCGTCGTCGCCTCCTCCCAACCCGACGTGAGCCCTCCGGTGGCCACGGGGCACGCGTGGCCGTCACACGAGGAGCCCACTGGGATGTTGTAGGGGGATGAGGCTGGCAAGGGTGGCCAGCACTGCGGGGGTCTCCGGTTGTAGGTGACCGAACCTTCCCCGCCGTAGGTGAAGGAGGCGCGGCCGTCGGAGAAGGAGCCGCTGCAGAAGCGGCGGTGGCTCACGGAGATGTCCCGGTTGTAGCCTCGACCCCGCCGGGAACATTTCCGTCGGAGATAGTGGTAGATCTGAGAGAGGAAAGGAAAACAAACCCCCCCAAAAAATATTTAAAAAATCGCGTGGTTTTTGTGCCTGGGAGGGTGGGGAGGTGCCAGGTGGGGTGGCCGGGAAAGCTCGGGGTGATTCCAGGCTTTGGAACCGAGCTGAGCTGTTAGAGAGCCGTGGAATTGTGCGGTGGTTTGGGTTGGAAAAGAACTGAAATCTCATCCACCCTGCCATGGGCAGGGCCACCTTCTGCTAGAACAGCCCCTGTTCTCCAAATCCAAGGATATCTGCACTTTCCTTGGGATACTTTTCCTCTCTCTACCTCTATTTCCAGAGAATCCGAAAGCTGAAATACATTCTGAATCCAAATTCTGAATCCAAATTCTGAATCCAAATTCTGAATCCAAATTCTGAATCCAAATTCTGAATCCAAAATTCTGAAATGCAAAACCTGAAATTTATTATTTTCCCCTCTAATGACTGCCGTGGTTTCCCCCACTCGTTTTCTTGTCCAGGTAACAGAGCTGCAAAAACCACCGAGGATATTATGCGAAAATATCCTCGTATTATGCAAAAATATCCTCGTCTCTGTTTCTCAGCTGTTGCAAGAGCGATGGATCAAAATTTCCACCCTGGCTCTGTTGCTGCAGCCCCAAAATCCTTTGATAATTTTAATTTTTTTTTAATTTTTTGATAGATGATGATCGGCCCGGACACAGAGGTTCGTGGCTATTCTGCGGTCCAGCTCAGGGTTTTTATTAATTAATATAAAAAAATGCATCCTGCACATTCAAACCCACAGAGTTTGTGCAGTCCGGCCCCACCACGGACCCATCCAGGTTTTTTCCCTTCTCATCCCGGTGTGGTGCTTTGATTCCCCCTTTTTCTCCAGGGTTTGGATCCAGAAGGGAACAAAAGCTCACCCAGGCTCGGCTCAGGCAGAGCCGAGGTCTCAAAGCAGCTGCATCCCGTGACTAGGAAATGATAAAATCCCAGAAAAAAAAGCCCCAAAAACCCCAGACTTACCCTCTTCAGCCATCGGAAACACATTTAGAAGGTAAAAGTCGTCTGAATGAGGAGCTTTAAGAGCCTCAGGAACATTTATACGGCGTTTAGCGTGTATGGGAAGTGAGACACCCTCGGGAATGAGAAGGATTTATTTACCGAACTGCGATTTCAGTGTTTGCTTTGGCACCCGATCCGTATCTCCCTTCACACCGCTCATTTCGCTGCTCTAATTGGTACTTCTGCTTAATGAGCCCATTCCTGTGCCCCTGCCCTGGGCTAAGCAGGAACCCTCCGACCCCCCAGCCCCGGGACAGGTGGGTGGGGATGTGGGAGGAGGAGAATTCGCGGCGATGCCAGGGACAGTGGGGCACGGGGCAAGAAATGTCACAGAGCTCTGGTGACAAGCGGGCCCCTCCCGCAGCTTCCTGCTGGCTCCAGGGAGAGCTTTTTTTTTTTTTTTTAATTTTGTTTTGTTTCTTCGTTTGTTTGCTTTTGTTTTGTTTTTGTTTTGTTATTTTTTTTTTTCCGAGGAAACCATTTGCATATGACCCAGAAGGTTCGTTAAAAGTGATTGATGCCCTAAGTGGAAATTTTGCAAGGGTGCTTAAAGGCAGAACTTGCGGAGGTGTGAACGTCCCGATGTTTAAACCCAGTTTAGCTGGATTAGGCTTTAATGAAGGACTGTGCCTCCAAATCCTTCCCTTCCTCTCTCTCACCTCCTTCCTCCGGGTTGCAGAGAGCTGCAGGGGCACTGGAGGGGTTGCGGATCCCAGCGAGGCTCCAGCCTGAGCACAGCAATTCCTGGGGGTTGGAGCAGCTCCGGGAATTTCGCTGTGGGGGCAGAAAAGTCGCGGCTTTGGCCAAAGCTCCATCCCCGGGCAGAAATCCAGGGCGGGGGAGCAAAACCTGGGAAGGGAAAGATTTGAGGCAGATTTGGAGCTCCCTGAGGGATTTGCTGTTGGTTTTATTCCATCCTGCCCGGCCCCGGGGCTGGCTTGGCTGGTTCGCAGGTGAGGTTTCCCTCTGGGTATAGATTTCGGAATTCCAGAAAATCTGAGGCTGGAAAAGCTCTCCCAGACCATCGAGTCCAACCTGTCCCCAGAGCTCTGAGTGCCACATCCTGAGCCCTTCCTGGGACACCTCCAGGGATGGGGACTCCAAACCTCCCTGGGCAGTCCCTGCCAAGCCCTGACCCCCCAATTTCCATGGGGAAATTCCTGCTGATTCCACGCCCTGAGCCTGCCCTGGGGAAGGGGGAGGATGGCAAGGCCGTGGGTGCTGTCAGGGTTTCATTGCCCACCCTGGGCATCACCAGCTGCTCTTGGGTCATCCCCAGTCCTTGCTGGGCCTGGTCACGTCTCCCAGAGGACACAGAGGGTCCCTCACCATGCCCAGGCACCGAAGGGTGTTGGTGCCGTGGTTCCTTCGAATTTTGGGATCTTCTGTTCCTCCCTGGCAGAGCCCAGGTGGGAAATGAAGGTGCAAAACCTCTGGGACAATAAACCGGGTGGCTTTGGAGTGCAACATCTCAGCAGAGACATTTCTACATCCCGAGACCATGAAGTGCAGGTTCATAGTGCAAGAAATAAATGAAATTTATGAGATGAAATGTATGAAATGAAACTCCCAAAAGAAGGGCAGTTTTGAGCAGTTATAACATTTATTGGATTTTAAAAGTGCCTTTGGGAAAGCAGCAGAACCCCAATGCCAGGGGCAGGGCACGGCAGGGTCATCCTGGAGCTCTCACACGAGGCTGCAGCGCCCAGGGGACAGGAGGGGACAGCTGGGAAGGACCAGGCAGCAGAGCCAGGGCTGGAGGCAAAGACATTCGGCTCTGGAGCTGCCCAGGGCTGTTACTTCCACTGGCCAGGCCAGTAGGAGCTCTGCTTGGTCTGGTGGGACACCACGCTGGGGATGACAACGGGACATTTCTGCTGGGAGGAGCCTCCACTGCCACCTCCAGAGCTGATGATGATGGTCTGGCCAGAGGAACCACTGCTGTATCCTCCTCCCATGCCATAGCTGGACCCTCCACTGCAGCACCCAGAGGAGCCTCCACTGCTTCCCCCTACAATGATGGTTTTCCCTCCTGAGGAGCCACCACCGTATCCTCCTCCCATTCCATAGGATCCTCCACTGCAGCACCCAGAGGAGCCTCCACTGCTTCCCCCTCCAATGATGCTCTTTGATCCCGAAGATCCCCCATATCCACCTCCCATTCCATAGCTGGACCCTCCACTGCAGCATCCAGAGGAGCCTCCACTACCTCCACCCACAATAATACTCTTTGATCCTGAAGAGCCACCATATCCTCCTCCCATTCCATAGCTGGATCCTCCACTACAGCATCCAGAGGAGCCTCCACTGCTTCCTCCAATGATGGTCTTTGATCCTGAAGAGCCACCACCATATCCTCCACCCATGCCATAACCTGAGGATCCTCCACTGCAGCATCCAGAGGAGCCTCCACTGCTTCCTACAATGATGGTTTTCCCTCCTGAGGAGCCACCACCGTATCCTCCTCCCATCCCATAACTGGACCCTCCACTGCAGCATCCAGAGGAGCCTCCACTGCCTCCCCCTACAATAATACTCTTTGATCCTGAAGAGCCACCATATCCTCCACCCATTCCATAGCTGGACCCTCCACTGCAGCACCCAGAGGAGCCTCCACTGCTTCCCCCTCCAATGATGACCTTTGTCCCTGAGGAGCCACCACCGTATCCACCACCCATGCCATAACCTGAGGAGCCTCCACTGCTTCCTCCAATGATGCTCTTTGATCCTGAAGATCCCCCGTATCCTCCTCCCATCCCATAGCTGGATCCTCCACTACAACATCCAGAGGAGCCTCCACTGCCTCCCCCTACAATGATGGTTTTCCCTCCTGAGGAGCCACCACCGTATCCTCCTCCCATCCCATAACCTGAGGATCCTCCACTGCAGCATCTAGAGGATCCTCCACTGCTTCCTCCAATGATGCTCTTTGATCCCGAAGATCCCCCATATCCTCCTCCCATCCCATAGCTGGACCCTCCACTGCAGCATCCAGAGGATCCTCCACTGCTTCCTCCAACGATGCTCTTTGATCCCGAAGATCCACCGTATCCCCCTCCCATCCCGTATCCCGAGGAGCCCCCACTGCAGCAGGATCCTCCTCCTCCACCGGAGCTGATGATGACTTTGCCGGAGCCCCCTCCGACCCCGCAGCAGGAGGAGCCCTGGGATTGGTAACCGGAGGAGCCGCTCCCGTGGCAACCGGAGCCCTGGCTGTGGCAACCGCTGGACTGGGAGGACATCCCGTGACAACCCCCGGAGCTTTGTCTGGAGCACATCTCGGAGCTGTGAGCCTGCAAGGAATGGAGCCGTCAGAGAGGAGACGCAGCTGAGCCTTCCCAGCAGAGAAAAAGGGAAGAATTCCCGGGAATTGCCCCGTTTGTCCCAAATTCTGCAGCTTTAAACTCCCTCCCCCCGGGACGTCCTGGGGAGCTCCCCGCAGGTCACAACAGTTCCGAGGAACCTCTGCGTGCAGGGAGGTTTGGAACGCTTCCCCAGCTTTGCACACATGCTGTGACACGCCTAAAAAAATCCTCTGTGGATCCTTCTGGATGTCTCACACTGACTCAGCAGCTCAAAGCTCAGCTCTCAGCGTTCCAGCTGCAGCTCCCCTGTCTAAGGAGGGGAGTTCTGTTGGCACCTCCAGTTGGTTTTTGGTGGAGCCACCACGGCTCAGAGAACCCCCAAAGACGGAACTGCTGGAGGGATTTCCCTGCGTGGACGTTCCAGAAGTTTCCGTATCCGCCGCCTTACCTTGGGTGCTGGTGGGAACGCGGCGATGCTCGGCGTTGGTGGAGTGAGGAGTCCTGGGACAGGCGAGCTTTTATAAGGGATGGATCGCGCTCCCGTGGGAAGTGAGACACCCTAAGGAATGCTGAGAGATTGATTTACAGAGCCTGGCTCCGTCCTTGACTCACTTGCAGCAGAGCTGATGAGAAGGAGGCGCATCAGCCCCGTTCTGTTCTTCACTCCCTAATTCCTCTTAATGATTCCCTTCCGGGAGCCTCGCTCCCAAATTTTTGGGGCAAACGGCGTCTCGGGGTCAGTTTTTGGGGTAGGGGTGGCCCCTCAATGTGTTTCTGCTGGGCTGGAGCTTTTGGGGTGCTCAGGACAGAGTGGGGACTGAGCAGTGTACCCGCACCCAACCCCTGCTCCCAAATCCCCTCCAGGGAAGCTGGAGAGGGATTTTTCCTCAGAAACTGCAGGGACAAGACACAGGGGATGGGATCAGGATGAAAGAGGGGAAAATTCGGTTGGATGTAGGAAAGATCTGTTGGTGAGCACCTGCTCCAGCATCGGAGGCTGGAGAACATTTCCCAGCAGAACATTTTGGATGTTTTATTAATTTTTGGGTCAGGAAACTGACAAAGGAGAGAAGCAACCTCACAAACCAAGCAGAGGAGCAGATGCCAAGAGATGGGGACTGCAGTGAGCTGGAGCCAGAGAGCGATGGAAGGACAAGGATAATAAAGGATGTGCTTGAGCAGAGTCCCAGAAAATTCTGGAGAATTTTGGAGAATTTCCTCAAGGGCTGGCAAGAGGGGAACGGGAGCACATCCATCCACCCATCCTGCTGGGAAAGGCCAGAGGTTGAACCCTGCTGGAGTTCCCTGCTCTGGAGCTGCCCAGGTCTGTGTTGAGGATGTTGTGAGGGTGACAGTGACAAAGGGGATTTCTCCTTTTGGCCTTTTGTGACCCCAAGGTGGCTGTTGGAGTTTTGGAGGTTTGTGCTCAGCTCCAGCTCCCAGCGATCTCATTCTCCAGGCTGGAGTGGGCAAAACCTTGAAACCCTTTTCGTTCTCGAAGTTGCACTCAAAGATCATCAAGACCTTGAACTTTAGGACGTTCAACACCCCCTTTCCCCAAACAGGACCCATTTCCCAGGGTCTTCAGTGGCCACTCCACCCTCCCCTGAGCAGGGGAGTCACCTGGATGTGTTCCCTGCTGCAGGATGACGTTTTGTCAGCACGGCTGTCCCAACACCGGCTCTGTGTCACGCGCGTTTGGAGCCTGACAGCAGCATCCGCCCTGCCAGGACACCGAGCAGAGGAACGACTAATGGGGTTTGGGCTGTGGGGGACGTGTGACAGCAGCAGCAGGTCCCAGGTGTCACCGTGAACGTGACTTTGACACCCTTGGGATGGGGACAGGGCCACCAGAGCCGGGGACACACGTGCAGGGGTTTTGGAGTCCCTTTGGTGGCCTTATCTCTGTTCTCATCTCCAGATCTGAGGTGTCACCGCTCTCCTGGCTCCCAGCTCTGACGTGTGGGTGTTGTACTCCCGAGGATCTCAACACCTTGATCCCTTCCGTGCCTCCAACCTGCAGGGACTTGCCCAGAGGGACAC